ACAAGAACACTGATCTGATCTGCGATTCTAGTAATTGTTTAAGATTGCACAACATGACAGCATTGGCATGGCACATGGTAATGATAGTATATAGGCTACAACTTGCTAACACTTGTCTTGAATTTGTTATAGGATCAGACAGGTCACATAAATATTTTAATTTTATTAAATTATAGACACATATCTTCAGGCTTTCGAATATAAATGCAATAGATGAATGTTACAAATTAATTAGAACATAAAGCTAACAAATTTGTAACATGTAGACACATTTGCAGGACATCTGGAGTATCTTTTAGCAGTGGTGAAATGTTGCTAGCTAGCTTGGTTCAGACACATGGAGAGACGTGATTCGATTGCAAAGACTATACTTGAGGAACATTGTGGGGGGGGTTTAGGGGGGGGGGGGTTAGGAAGAGGGGGGGCAAAGAAGAAACTGGAATGGCAACATCAGTCAATTGACATGACTAAATTACTATACACTTGATCAACAAGCAGAAAACAGAAAAAGATGCCAGGGTTTGTGTGCTAGTGCTTCTAATGGGTGCTTTCCTGACGGGTCAAGGGTTGTTATGTTATTTCATCAATTTTCAATTTCTCAGAAAATAACCAGTTAGGTTTCCTTAGAGAGCCACTCACATCAGGGTCTCTCATCTACCAAAACCAAATATTATGTGTCATTACAAGTATTATCAAGAGCTGCAGCAACACAATGGCTAAATGCTCACTACCTCAATCCAAAGGTCTAGGGTTTGTATCCTCACCAGGCTGATTTTGAGAAAGACAGTGTTGTAAGCTTTTAGATTGACCCTACCTAAAATTTACCTGGGAAGTAAAGGCAACTAGCATGATGCTGACCACATTATCTACCAAGGACCGGTTGATCTATACAAAATATGACATTAACAGACGGGACAGTGGGGCGATCTCATGAGTATGCCCTGGTACTGTCACAGAAACACTGCTGAAGAAGTCACCAAGAACAGCATTAAAGAAATAAAGATAATGTATGTAAGGCATTATAAAGAGTCACATAGAAGATCCTTACACCCGCGCCCCCGACCTCCTTCCAACACTTTGATTTGGTAACTGGAGGCATAACTGCCAAATCAGCATTTATTCCCCCCCCCCCCCTTGTTTTTTTCTCATCAGGGACTAACCAGTGTGTCTACGATAGACACAGGATTAACATTTTCATGTTATGGCAAGTCACTTGACATACATAGATTAGCATGGGGACCCTATGCTTGTGGGACCCCCGGGCAAGTTCCCAGCTACGATGGCCCTGACTGGAAGAAGAGAAAGACAAAAAATATAGGTTTTTCCAGACGTAACGGTAACACGTAGACCCTCGACCCGGCAGCGCGGAGATAGCCATGATCTTCTGCCTTCAGTTCTGCTGTCAGTCAACGGTCAGGGACGAACAGACGCCAGGTCTCAGCTGTTGGCGGATAGTTTTGTTTACTTTAAAGCTGCCAGTTCCTGCAAGCTATCGTGGATTATTGATCGAGTCTGTGTCCGTGGTCGATTCTTTGCAGTTCGAAATGCTTAAACACTGCTGACATGGATAGTAATGAGTTATTTTTTTAATATTTGACGGCCTGTCCTGGTTGGTTTGAAAAAGGAAGAACAAGCAAGAGGTCAGAAGGATCCCAGAAAGTAAGTAGTAAGTTATTTTAGTTAGAAATCTTAGATTTCTCGCCCAGACTGCAGTCAGAAAAAAACTGAAACTATCAATCGGGTGCTGTCTTCACAGTGGAGATTGGCTACAGTGACAGGCATGCTCCGTGCAGAGTGGCTAGCATTACTTCGAAGGTCCGGGATAGTTAGTTAGCATCCTTCAGATATTTTGGCTATCCTCCGAATAACGGTCCCAAATTATCGAGGCCTAAAATATACCCTAACAGGGCCTCAGTCACATGTAAATTTTTCCATGGACTACATAGCATACAGTGAAAAAGGTTTTGCGAGTTAAAGTCACTGCCGAGAGTACTGCACCAATACATACTGTGCGGGGCTAAACTAGATGGCTGCGACTCACGAGCAAATTAAATGGAGGAAGCTGCATGAGATGCGGTAGCTGCTGTTCATGAGTCACAGCCATCTAGTTTAGCCCCACGCCGCACATATCAGCGCGGTAGATACTTTCAGCAGTGACTTTAACTCGCAAAACCTTTTTCACTGTATGCTATGATAATGTAGTCCCTGGAAAAAGTCCACAATTTACATGTGACTGAGGCCCTGTTAGGGTATATTTTCGACCTCCATAATTTGGGACTATTATTCGGAGGATAGCCTATATTTTCTCCAGATTATGCCGGTGTGTTTGGAAATGAGCAGGCAGATAAACTGACCGGTTCTGCGCCATTTATTTGGTGGTGAACTGATGTATGACAAGCTGGATGTTGTGAGGGCCCTTTGAGAGCAAGTGAACAGTGTCGAGGCACAGATAGATCATTACGGTCTGAGGAGAATAGCACTGCAAGGAATAACAAGGAGATCTGGCCGACGCTTGACACTCAGGAAAAAGGCGAGATGGGTATACAGACAGTTACTGGTACCATCGGAATTTTAACTCTTTAACTTTCTCCATGTTAGTTTTTCTGTGTGTGTATCTTTACTTTCTCTGTGTCAGTATTTCTGTGTGTGTATCTTTACTTTCTCCATTTCAGTATTTCTGCATGTGCATATTTACTTTCTGCATAGGCTGTAGGTAGAAGAACACTGAGAGATAAGGTCATTGATGTAGTCCATGCATGTTTGTGTTAGAGAAAAGCAAGAGGATGGGCATCTTTACTTTCTCCATTTCAGTAATTAGAGTAGAAAGCACTCCGAGAAAAAGAACAATCAACGAGTGAGATCTAGGTTGAAACAAGGAGATCTTCTTCTTCTTCATGCCCTTAATTCCGGCTGTAAACTCCAGTGAGAAAGTTCTGGCTGTTTAATTTCCAATCGACGCCTGCGTGTCCCGGAACAAAAATAAAGGTGACTCCACGCACTATGGACTTTAGAACTTGTTCATACCAGAACCTGAGTGTTGCGTACACATTCATTTCCAGCATGATCTGAATTGGCTTTTTGACTGTTCTGCCCGCTGATGCAGCCCACGGATCCGTTATAGATTATTGCATCTGCTTCCTTCTGCATTAACAGCAACAGGATCTCTTCTCTACATCGCCTGTTGAGGTGACAGGAAAATGTACTCTGAGGCACAGGTTCCATTCTGAAGGATGAACCCCCAATAACATCTTCTGTCGATTTCCCCCTCTTACTAAAAAGCGCTTGATGCAGTGGGTGTTTCTTATCAGCACATTTTTGAGATATGCCCGAGCCTCCACATCCCTGATCCTTTGGTTCATTGTTGGAAAGTCTGATACCTCATTGCTTTGTGTCTCTTTGTACATCCCAAAATAATGAGATGGCTTCATTTTGCACCTTTTCGAGTCGTTCAATCTGGGTAGCACTGACAGTGAGGATGGCAGAGCGGGGAAAGGACCAGACCGTGGAATAGAGTATTAGTAGTCTTTGCTCGATATTGGAAGCAGCCATAATCCTCATTGCAGATAGACCTTTGCGTGCTTTTGTTATCACATGGTCAACGTGTTCCCTGAATGACAAGCTGCGATCGAACCTCACCCCGAGAAACGTCATAACGTTGATTCTGATCAATACATTATCACGCATTTTCACTTCTGGTAAGTCCAACTTGACAATGTGATTGTTCAAAGAGAACCATGACACTGATGCCTTCGAAGGATTGACATAGGCATTGGAACCATCACACCAGGCGGCAATTCGATCGAGTTCTTTGTGCATAGTGCTGGCGATCTCCTGTCTATCACGCCCTCGTCGATAAATCAAAATGTCATCAGCAAATGACAAAGTCCTTCCCTTTCCATTCAACTGCTGCTCAGTGATCATCACCGTATAAACGTTGAATAAGACTGGTATTTCTGTATATGCATCTTTACTTTCTCTGTATCAGTATTTCTCTGTGTGTATCTTTACTTTCTCCATTTCAGTATTTCTGTATGTGCATATTTACTTTCTGAATTTATTGAAGACAGAAGGTTGTGGACAGACATGACTGTCAGTGCCACATGGCATAGGCTGTAGGGAGAAGAACATAGAGAGATAAGGTCATTGATATAGTTCATGCATGTTTGTGTTAAAGAAAAGCAAGAGGATGGGGAAAGAGTAGAAGAGAAAAGAACAATCAGAGTGAGATCTGGGGAAGAGGAGATCTTCTTCTTTTTCATGCCCACCGGCTGTAAACTCCAGTGGAAAGTTCTGGCTGTTTAACCAACTATGGACTTTAGACTTGTTCCAGAACCTGAGTGTTGCGTACACATTCGTTTAGCAGATCTGAATTATTTTTATGCAGACTGTTGGTTCCTTGCCTCTCAGGCAGATGCACTCTGACTTTGAAGGAAACCCCCAATAAGTCGACTCTTACAACATGCTTGTTGTGGAGGCAGTGGGTCTGTTCTTGTTTTCCCCACAATGGAGACCCAGAACCCACATGGGGAGGAAGAGTGGAATAAGAGAGACCTTATAAGACAGGTGATACAAATTTAATGCATTGTGTAGCAACCTTTGTAGTAGCAGAATGAAGTTTTAAGTTGATGCTGGTATTGTTTTTTTTTCTTAGTTTCTTGAACATACTGAAAGATTATAACAAGCCTTCCTTTCTTTGATTTTATTTATTCTACATCACTTTATTTTAAAATTGTTTCTGAAGTGATCCATTGATGACTAGAGTACTATCCCCTTTATTATTGTTTTGTAGAGCAGTTCATGTTGAGAAAGGCCGTGGTCAAAAACATCGATGTGTGTTATTTTTTGCACGTTTGTCTGCTTCCCCATAACATTAATTTCTTGGAAGAATATAAAGAAACTATTCACAAACTGTTTTCTAGTCAGTTTATTCAATATGCTTCAACATTACTTTCCACAGAGACTATTTTCGTGTCCACACAGTGTGTGGATAAAGCACAGACATGCGGATCAGCTGTTTAGTCGAAAGAATGGCTAGCAGATTGGCCCTGAGGATGTCCAGGAAGGTTGTTATGGTGCTGCTTCTGTGCTTCCTGATGTCTCTGTATGCCATGTTCTCCATGATCAACAACCATTATCAGAGCCACAATCACTGGTATAAGCGGCCGGCTCCATGTGTGACACCAAAGTCTGTCATGGATGAGATGGTGGTGCTTACGTCTGCAGTTTCTAACGTGCTGAACAGACTCAACGTTTCTCATGCCCTGTGCTATGGCACTTTATGGGGAGCTCTTAGATATGGGAAAACTTTACCCTGGGATACTAATGTAGATGTATGTATTGATTTGTATGTTTAACTGTTTCTAATAGATAGTGTTAAAATGTTTTATCAAACCTTTATTATGATCTGCATGTCAAATTTGGAGAATAAGCAGATAAGCTTACACAGGTTTTTTTTAAAAATAAGAATGCAGTTAATCATTTTTTTCCTTCTTCTTCTTTTGTCTCACTGAAACAAGGTTGTAGCCTAGTGTCGTGGGTTGTCTGTATTTGTCTTGCCCTTCTAGGGTAGCTTGGGTGGGTGATGGATTTGTTCACCATTTTTTCAGGTTAGGTTTTGGCTACATTTCTTTCTTAGTCCTCTTCTTGTCCTCCTCCCAGATGTTCTGCTGTAAAAAGTCTCATATGCAGTTTGGCCTGGCTGCATTCTGACTAGATGGTCGAACAATTTCATTCTTTGCCTGTCATAATCCAGGCACAGTCTTATTCCAACTTCCTCTCTAATGCTGGTATTCGTAATCCTGTCTCGTCTAGTTTTGTTAGTGACCTGGCAGAGCCAGGGCATTTCACATGTAGTTGTTTTCTGCTCTAGTGCCCTATTCATTAATGCAGTGAATGTCATAGGATAATAGAAAAAGAAATAAGGCAGACCTAATTGAGACAGACAAACTACTGGATGTAAATTGCCTAGAGAAACCACACAACAGCCAGGGGCTGTTAGGGTTGGTTCTGCAACGTCCTGTAAAGGATAGGCAACTAACTTTAATTGAGACAGATGGACAGTGGAAACTGATTCGAGAGGTTAGACATACACAGTCAGTGTTTTTGTTGTTGTTGTTGGATGTGTAATGAGAAGAAATAGACTCAAGAACATGGGTTACAACTGGCAAGATTGATGGAAAGAGAGCATCAAAGAGACCACAGCGAGCACCACAAGAAAAAAGAAGAAGAAGAATCATAGACACAGTCCCCACAGTTGAAGTCACATGAGTTAACTGTAGTTATGACTAGTTCCTGTCCTGGTCAGTGAATTAATGTGTTGATACTAGTCCAACTGCAGCCATACATGTTTGTATCGCTTCTGGATTTTCTAACAAATAGATTTATTGTTTTAACAGACGGTTGAATTAAGATAAGTTGATGACCTTATGTGGGTTCTGGGGTCCCATTGAGGGACAGTAACAGCTGTAAAAGGTGACTAGTTAGGGGTGTTTTCTTCTTTGAATTTGGAATGAAGATGCCTTAAAGGTGAGGAATGAGAAGTCTGCATACAGATAAGCCAGGTCTGTAAAATGGATGCGCACATAAAATTCAAGTTCTGAACAAGACCAAAGTCTAGAAGTGGATGAAGAACCATAACTTTCTACTAAGAAGAAAAGGAAGAAGAAGATGACTTGTCAGTTGAAGAGAGAGACTGCAAGTAGATGATTAAACCCACCTGAGCCAGGAAATGTCTGGTAATATGGAGGGTGTTGATTTGGACCAAGTAGGACCGGATTAAATGTATGGTTGTTAAATTGAGTGACACGAATTGCAGGAACTGACAGCTAAACAATGATGTTGTGTGCTGATTTGGGAGAGTGTAATATTGTGTGAAGGGACAGAGTGGTATGTAGGTACTTTCTGTGAGTTCACGGGGGAATAGTGTCAACATGGGCCCAGTATTGAGAGTAGAAAATGTTGACGAGTGAAAATGTCTTATCATGAACGAGGCGTGCATGCACGAGAAAGTAGACTCATGGGTTACTGTGTGGGGGCTGACACACATGGATAGTAAGAATCACAGAGAGAAGGGTGTATTACGTGATAGCGTGATTCTCATGTGACATCAGCCACCCGCATAAGTGTGATCCTCGAGAGCGCTTCCTTGAACGTGAGTCTCGAGAACACCCACATGATCATGTTTCCCGAGAACGCTCACACGAGCATGCCTCTCGTGTAATCTACATGAGTTTGACAAGGATAAATTGGGGCTTTATAGACAGTCCGGGTCAGTGAGCTGTAGCCACAGGGCTAAAGCACTGGGGTAGTGCGGTTGTAGTACACACCCAGTTTGAGAGTGCTGCGAAGGAGTCTGAGTCTGAGAGCCAGAGCAAGACTGAGGTAGAGAGAGAGGGACCAAGTTAGGGTCAGTGATTATCTCTCTCGAGTATAACAGACAGAGTACCGGACAACTATCAGGCATTAAGGCCTGAGTAAGGGTTGAGGTTACGGTACTGGTCGAAGGTATAGTCCCGCTGGCGAAGTAATTTCAAGGGGATGGGATGCTCCAATAGTAACTGTTCTGGGTGAGGATGCGAGGAGATGTAGAGTCACTATGGAAACAGGACAGTGGGGGATGCCAACGAGAGCTGTGTGCTAGAGGAGACGTGTGTTAGAAGTCCTATCGGTCATCGGAGCCCTTTGACAGGCTGACGAGAGCTGTGTGCTTTTTTGAGAACGGCAAGGGAAGTCCGTCTCTAGTCAGCTGTGGTTGTCTGCTGAAATAATATTAAGGTCCAGTGGATAGGAGAATTTGTCTTATTCAGCTGTACGACGTGTCCAGAGTTGTGGACGCTGTAGGCCTGTGGAGCTGTAGGGGTCAAGGAAAGGCCGCTACAAGGTTGGGATAGAGCGAGTGCTGACTAAATGGACTATGGGCGAATGTCAGTTGGGATCAATGGCTACGTCTCTGCAGTTGTGTCATGTAACCTGTTGAATAAAATGTATGACGGAGTCATTGTCGTCGAGTTCTGTTTCTAAGAGAGGAAGCGAAAGTTGTACCTGCTGGACACGTGGTAGAGTGCTGGCTAGTTGTAGCTCAATTAGCACACAACAAATGACCGACCCAAAAAAACAAAACCTCAGAAAAGTTGGGAGAAAATGCACATCTGCAAAAGATGTTAGATATTGTAGTAAGCAAAAGTGTGGGGAAAAACACAGAAATGACAAGAACTTTTCTATATTACGAGAAAATGGAAATGATAGAATTATCGTAAAAAGATAGCACTAGAATATAATAGTTCAGTGAACTGACAAATTCTCAGTCACACCAATGCTTTCAAATTGATTTACTTAGGCTCTTCAGTAGAACAGTCTGTACTGCATTGGATTCCGGGTCACTGTGGCTTGGAAGGCAATGAAATAGCAGACAGATTGGCCAGAAGCGGCAGTGACATGGTACAACCAAATAGCGATTTAACCCACCAAGAGACGAAAACATTAATACAATCTAGAATTCAAGAAAGGTGGCTGGATACCCACACCAAATTTTCTCCCCAAGACTCACTTCATCGCCTCTCTAGAGAGAGACAGTGTATTATATTCAGACTAAGGACTGGGCATAACAGATTTCGTCAACATATGTTCAAATTTTTAGGTGTAGGAAATACGGAGACATTTTCCTGCCGCATGGCACGCAAAAATGCTGAGCATGTGCTCCAACACTGTCAACTGTATACTAACAACAGAGACACAATCTGGCCTGTTCCAACCACAATGAAGACAAAACTGTATGGTACACGAGAGGATATGGATTGCACGATAGCTTTCATAAAGGCTACCGGCCTCCTGATATAAGTTTTCTGACAGAAGGTTAGAAGAAGAAGACATTCAAATTCACAAGGGTTCCACCTCTCTTTATTTATGTGAATGATGTGTAACACAATGGAACCCACCAGTCAGATCTCGTGTATTTTAGACAAAGCATTAAGGTCTGCTGTGTTAGTAAAATTGCTGCTGTGTTTGTTGTTTGGACTATGCTTGGTAAATTTAAATTTATGTAACCTAAGGTGCTATTTCAATGGTTTGAGGTGAATTCTGTCTGTATTCCATAGTTGTGGATTTCAAGCTGTACGATAGAAATGTCCAGTGAAAATGCTTTTAATGCAGGGTGCCTAGCTGGTCATGTTTTAAGTACTCTTGTTTCCATAGCGAGGCACACATGCCATTTGAAGGCAACAGGTTCAATTCTAATAACGGTACCTATAGCTTTAGATTTTAAAATTGTCTGGTGTGTCCTTCTAGCTTCTTCTTTCTGTAAGTACCAATCAATACATTGTCTGTTCATTATACATCAAATATATGTAGGCAATCATAACATTGGATGGAAGAAGCTGGGGTTACGCCAAACAGAAGCCGCATTTTAGTAGATGACATTGTCTGGAGAGTGCTGTAGCATATTTAAAATAAGTTTTATATGTCAGTAATCAAGCTCAAACATGTTTATTCATTTCTTTCCTGTTCTATGTGTCCGTTAAAAAAAAAAATAATATTATCAGTCATCATCTGTAAACTCCGTTAAAAAAAGTTCACGTTGTTGTTCCATTTCTGAACTTTCATCATGTTCTAGAACTTAAGTTATGTGTGTACATCCGTTTGACAAATCTAGCTTATCTGAGTGCAGATTGTTGGTTCCTTACCTATCAGTCAGGTGCACTCCAGCTTTGAAGGAAACACCCCTAGTTAGTAATCATTTACCACATGCTTGTTAAGGAGGCAGTGGGTCTTTTCTTTTCCCCCAAAATAGGACCAGGAATTCACACAGGGATGTTTGTCATTGATCAAACTGAAATCTGTTCATTTCTCCCCATGACTCTGTGTGTCAATGATCAAATAGGAAACTGTTCATTAATTTATTTCCCCAGTTTTATGTGTCAGTGATCAAGCTAAAACCCATTCATTTATCTCTGTCCCCAGTTTTGTGTGTCACTGATCAAGCTTAAACCAATTCATTGATCTCTGTCCCCCGTTTTGTGTGTCATTGATCAAGCTTAAACCCATTCATTGATCTCTGTCCCCAGTTTTGTGTGTCACTGATCAAGATTAAACCCATTCATTGATCTCTGTCCCCAGTTTTGTGTGTCATTGATCAAGTTTAAACTCATTCATTGATCTTTGTCCCCAGTTTTGTGTGTCATTGATCAAGCTTAAACCCATTCATTGATCTCTGTCCCCAGTTTTGTGTGTCATTGATCAAGCTTAAACCCATTCATTGATCTCTTTCCCCAGTTTTGTGTGTCATTGATCAAGCTTAAACCCATTCATTGATCTCTGTCCCCAGTTTTGTGTGTCAGTGATCAAGCTAAAACCCATTCATTGATCTCTGTCCCCAGTTTTGTGTGTCATTGATCAAGCTTAAACCCATTCATTGATCTCTGTCCCCAGTTTTGTGTGTCACTGATCAAGCTTAAACCCATTCATTGATCTCTGTCCCCAGTTTTGTGTGTCATTGATCAAGTTTAAACTCATTCATTAATCTTTGTCCCCAGTTTTGTGTGTCAGTGATCAAGCTTAAACCCATTCATTGATCTCTGTCCCCAGTTTTGTGTGTCATTGATCAAGCTTAAACCCATTCATTGATCTCTGTCCCCAGTTTTGTGTGTCACTGATCAAGCTTAAACCCATTCATTGATCTCTGTCCCCAGTTTTGTGTGTCATTGATCAAGCTTAAACCCATTCATTGATCTCTGTCCCCAGTTTTGTGTGTCAGTAATCAAACTAAAACCTGTTCATTTACCTCTGTTCCCAATTATGTGTGTCATTGATCGAACTGAAAATTCTTTATTTTTATTTCTCCAGTTTTGTGTCAGTGATCAAGCTAAAACCCATTCATTGATCTCTGTCCCCAGTTTTGTGTGTCATTGATCAAGCTAAAACCCATTCATTGATCTCTGTCCCCAGTTTTGTGTGTCACTGATCAAGCTTAAACCCATTCATTGATCTTTGTCCCCAGTTTTGTGTCAGTGATCAAACTAAAACCCATTCATTGATCTCTGTCCCCAGTTTTGTGTGTCACTGATCAAGCTTAAACCCATTCATTGATCTCTGTCCCCAGTTTTGTGTCAGTGATCAAGCTAAAACCCATTCATTGATCTCTGTCCCCAGTTTTGTGTCAGTGATCAAGCTAAAACCCATTCATTGATCTTTGTCCCCAGTTTTGTGTCAGTGATCAAGCTAAAACCCATTCATTGATCTTTGTCCCCAGTTTTGTGTCAGTGATCAAGCTAAAACCCATTCATTGATCTTTGTCCCCAGTTTTGTGTCAGTGATCAAGCTAAAACCCATTCATTGATCTTTGTCCCCAGTTTTGTGTCAGTGATCAAGCTAAAACCCATTCATTGATCTTTGTCCCCAGTTTTGTGTCAGTGATCAAGCTAAAACCCATTCATTGATCTTTGTCCCCAGTTTTGTGTCAGTGATCAAGCTAAAACCCATTCATTGATCTTTGTCCCCAGTTTTGTGTCAGTGATCAAGCTAAAACCCATTTATTGATCTTTGTCCCCAGTTTTGTGTCAGTGATCAAGCTAAAACCCATTCATTGATCTCTGTCCCCAGTTTTGTGTGTCAGTGATCAAGCTAAAACCCATTCATTGATCTCTGTCCCCAGTTTTGTGTGCTGAAGACAGAAATTAACAAAGTGCCATGGGATAGGCTACAGGGGATGTTTAAAGCAAATCACATGGGCATGGTTTACGACATGCGTCACGGAGAGTACCTGATCACCCGGGGCCCAGCTGTGGCAGTTCTCACAGTGTTTGACGAAACAAACTCAGGAGAAGCTCGACGTGACGGTGTTGTTTACAGACTGCTGAGGTTCTATCAGAACAACCCAGAGTCATTCCCTAGCAGGCTACTGAAGGCACCGTTGAGTAAGATAGTTTTTCATGGCCAGCCAATGCCGATACCTAACGAGGATGATGCAATTTTAAAATATTTTTACCCGGATAATTGGTGGCTGGAAAAGCCGCCACCAGGATGTCCGACAGGTAAGTTTGCGGCAGCTTAGTGATTGGTTAGAGTGATTTTGTCTGTTTGGTGGGTAAGAATGGAGTATGCTCTTTATGTGTTTTTTTTTTAAACCTCATAGGTACCTGTTGGTTTCATTCCTTATGTGGGTTCCAAGTCCCCATTTTAGGATGAAACAAGCATGGATGTAAAAAGTGACTTTTTGGAGATTTGCTGAAATTGAATATGTTGGGCAGAGATATCATAGCCTAGCTGTGAACCACAATACATTATACCCACATTCTTCTAAGGGTCGACCCAGAAGAAGCTTGGCTGCAGTGAATATGGGTTTCTCACTATTATTTTATCATTAAAAAATCTGAGGTAAACACTTGTTTAGTCATAGAAAATGTGGGTTTAGCACCTCTGTTTGGTCACATAAAATATGTTTTTAACATCCCTGTTAAGTCATAGAAAATGTGGGTTTAGCACCTCTGTTTGGTCACATAAAATATGTTTTTAATATCTCTGTTAAGTCATAGAAAATATGGGTTTAGCACCTCTGTTTGGTCACATAAAATATGTTTTTAATATCCCTGTTAAGTCATAGAAAATGTGGGTTTAGCACCTCTGTTTGGTCACATAAAATATGTTTTTAATATCCCTGTTAAGTCACAGAAAATATAGGTTTAGCACCTCTGTTTGGTCACATAAAATATGTTTTTAATAACCCTGTTAAGTCACAGAAAATATAGGTTTAGCACCTCTGTTTGGTCACATAAAATATGTTTTTAATAACCCTGTTAAGTCACAGAAAATATGGGTTTAACACCTCTGTTTGGTCACATAAAATATGTTTTTAACATCCCTGTTAAGTCACAGAATATATGGGTTTAACACCTGTTTGGTTACAGAAAATATAGTTTTAACACTTCTATTTAGTCACAGAAAATATGGGTTTAACACCTCTGTTTGGTCACATAAAATATGTTTTTAACATCCCTGTTAAGTCACAGAAAATATGGGTTCAACACCTCTGTTTGGTCACATAAAATATGTTTTTAACATCCCTGTTAAGTCACAGAAAATATGGGTTTAGCACCTCTGTTTGGTCACATAAAATATGTTTTTAACATCCCTGTTAAGTCTCAGAAAATATGGGTTTAACACCTCTGTTTGGTCACATAAAATATGTTTTTAACATCTCTGTTAAGTCACAGAATATATGGGTTTAACACCTGTTTGGTTACAGAAAATATAGTTTTAACACTTCTATTTAGTCACAGAAAATATGGGTTTAACACAGCTGTTAAGTCACAAAAAATATGGGTTTAACTTAACTGTTTGGTCACATAACTGAATATGGGCATAACATTATTATTCTTTAATTGGGTGCTCACATATAAGAAGTGAATATTAACATGTTATTTGAAGGGAATACTAACATATTATATATCGAGTGAATACTTGTATGTTATAAGAAGTGAATACCAACATGTTTTATGAACTGATGGCTTAGGCATTGCGAGTCCGACAAGTAATTCCGGTGTACCGCGATACGAAACCCACTGCTGACTACGTGGATTTTTATTGTGGTGTGGGGCGTCACAGGTCAACCCAGCCTAAAATGGGTACCAGGATGGCTGTTCTGGGGAAGTAAAGATAGCCAGCGTAATGCTAACCACATTACCCACCTAATGCCGATCGGTCTGTAAAAATATGGGTGCTCTTCCCATATACCCGATGCGCCTAAGGGCGTGAAAAGAGATCTTTACTTTTTTTTTACTTCATATAAATTGATAATACTAACATGTTATATGAAGTAAATATTGACATGTTATGTGCCGTGAATACTGACATGTTATCTGAAGTGAATATTGACATGTTATGTGATGTGAATACTGACATGTTATATGAAGTAAATATTGACATGTTATGTGACATGAATACTGACATGTTATATGAAGTAAATATTGACATGTTATGTGACATGAATACTGACATGTTATATGAAGTGAATATTGACATGTTATGTGCCGTGAATACTGACATGTTATATGAAGTAAATATTGACATGTTATGTGACATGAATACTGACATGTTATATGAAGTGAATATTGACATGTTATGTGACGTGAATACTGACATGTTATGTGACGTGAATACTGACATGTTATATGAAATGAATATTGACATGTTATGTGACGTGAATACTGACATGTTATATGAAGTGAATATTGGCATGTTATGTGATGTGAATATTGTCATGTTATATGAAGTGAATATTGACATGTTATGTGATGTGAATACTGACATGTTATATGAAGTGAATCCTGGAAGGCTAACCCAGTCAACAGAAGTCGAATGTGTCAGCCGAAAGGCACACATACGGCAGCCATGCTTTGAATGGGCATAACGCAATCACATCTTCGGATGAATGCAGAAAAAGATGAAAAGTTAGTACTGACATGATATATGAAATGAATGCTGACACGGTTTATGAAGTGAAAACTAACATGTTATTTGAAGTGAATGCTAACACAAGCAGACAGACTGACATTGTTTTTTTTTTTTTATTCAGTTCAGGTACCCAGTTCTGTTGGCTAGTGTGAAAAACCTGCATCCTGGACTTTGGTGGTTGTATTGTTGAACAAACGCCCAAACGGAGAACGTGCCTGTGGTCAGTGCTGAGAGACCATGAAGTAACATCACCAGAAACTTCTGTCTGTATGGACCGTCTTTCAATAGTTGCTGGTGGCTATACTATATTGTTTTTGGAGGACTTGCCTGTAACCAGTGCTAAGAGACCATGCAGAAACATCACCAGAATCTTCTACCTATATAGAACTTCTTTCATTGTAGCTGGTGGCTGTACTGTGATGTTTTTGCAGGGCCTGTCTATAGCTAATGTTGAGAGACCATGCAATAACTTCCCCAGAATCTCATCTATAGAGAACTTGCAAATTTTTTAAATTGTTCTTCTCTAGGAGGGCAAACTGAAATATCAACACCAGGTGGCTCAAAGAGACACTATTTGTGTGAGAATCCAACAGGAGCATATCCCTGATACCCTGTTCAACTATATAACACAGTTACATTAAAGCCCCTAGTGGTTATGAAGTAGACTATAGTCCAATGTAGATGAGTCACAAAGTCACTGTTTCAGTTGTTGCGGGTTATTCTATACCAGTGGCTCCTAACATTCCTAATGCTGCGACTCTTTAATAAAGTTCCTCTCATTGTGGCGACCCCAAATCATAGTTATTTTTGTTGCTTCTTCATAACTTAGGGAATATGTGTTTTTATTGTCTTCTGCTTGGTGTAATAAAGTCGTTCCCATTTGGGATGCAATTTTTTTGTTATTTGAAGCCCCGCCTTGGCTGCTGCTGGGGGCCCTGAATATAGCCGCGGCATATCTATGGCCTAATGGCTGAAAGGGGTTTCTGGGACCTCTCCACGGGTGTTCCTCATCCGCATAGTGGCACTTTGTGTCACCGGGTGTTAATCGCTTGTGTGATGTCCTGGTGGGATACAACTACCTACCTATCTATGTGTTTTCTGATGGTCTTTGGTGACTTCTGTGAGGGAGGTCCTTCGAGCCACGTGTTGAGAGCTGCTGCTCTATACTAAAGTGTTTTTGAAGCACCAGTCTGGAGGTCATTGATCTCAGCTGTGACTGTGCCTTGTGGGGTAAGGCTTTTTTTTGTGGGCATACTGCTTTTATTGTCCCTGTTTTATTCAATATTGGCCATGGTTGCATTTTGAATATCAGAGTTGAACATTATTTTCTGGGACAAATAGGACCAGACTGAATTTTCAGAAGTTACTGTTATTTTGTGTGTTGCTGGTCATATATTTATATAATCACTTTATGATCTGTACTCCATACACTGGATTGTAAATACACTTATTTCATCTTTCGCTTACTATCCTAGGATATTATTTCATCTTTCGTCTTCTACCCAGGCATTTAAAGGTGCTATGCCATGTTGCTTGGTCTAGAAAATGTAACTAAAGCTTTGCAACTGCACATACAGTGATGGCTGTAAAAGTATTTTACTGCTCATCCGGTGGTGATTGAAAAAATATTTTACTGCTCATGCTGACCGACTGACAAAATCTGCATTAATTCTAACAGTGCAAGGCTGCAGTCTAGTTAAAAGCAGTATTTTAATTTCCCGTCACCTCCCCCCAGTCTCTGTCTGATGGATTGGTTACTAAGTTTTCTTAGAGCCTGGTGAATTTAGGTCTGTACATTTCAGAAATCAGAACACTTATCAAGGGAAAATACAAAGAATTGTGAAGAGAACAAACAGTAAACATTCACAAGACCCCATCAGCAAACTCAACAGAAAGCAACATACAACAATTTTCCGTCTACGAACAGGATACTGCAGGTTCAACTACCACATGCATACAATAAAGATCGTAGTCCCCACAGTGTGCCTGTCAGACAGGACCACAAACACCTGAGCACATTCTGCAGACCTGCCCGCTCTACCTACAGCTTCGAAAAGAAACATGGCCTCAAGAGCAAAGTGTGCAGAGCAAACTATGGGGAACCATGCAGGACCTGCTACTGACGTGCGAGTTCATAAAGGCAACCCACTTGATGGTCTGATCTGAGCATATGAAACTGAATGTGAAGAAGAAGAAGAGGTCTGTACATTTTTACATCTGTGGCTTAGGCGTTGCGAACGCGCTTCGTAGTGCCGGGTTCGGTCCCAGCTGCAGGCAGTTGTTTTTTTCCCGCCTTGCCTTGGTTTCAACATCGAGAGCCCACTGTTAATTTAGCAGTGGCAAACTACTGAACGTAAAATTTGCCTAGAAAAACCATAACAGCCAAAAAGTGCTGGGGTTTGTTAGGCAATGTCCTGTAAAGGATATTCAACTATTAAAAATTCTACAGTAACTGAAATTATTTAAGAGTAGGCCTTATAGCTACTGCCTTGGCAACTTTTTAAGATGAGAAAGTAAGTTGCAATATCAATTTTTTTTTTCTAAATAAGCTTACAAGATAGGAAGTAATCCTACAGACAGTTTAGATCTTAAGTCCAGCAT